CTGAATTTGAAGGCGCGTCTTATTATACTGTGACAATAAAATTGCTTAGAGTGTGGCGAAAGCGATACCACAACCCACCTGGGCATACGTTTCAATTTTTGAGATCGGTGGATGATGAACATTTAATCATGTCCGTTCATAATGGTCATGGTCAATGTCAGATTCATTTAATCAAAGTTGGGAATGCACTGAAAAAGAATGTAACTCTTAAATGTGATCGGTGAATTCAACGTGAACGTGTAAATGAAGTTTCTCTATGAGGCTTTGGCTCGTCATAATATTCGAGAAGTTTTGTGGTATTTATCTTCAACATGCTTACAACCCTACCGAGAAAGTATGACAGATACCTTAGTAGGTATCTTGATTAAGTTGTTTTTTCCCCTTTTTTTAAAATTTAATTTTAATGCTCGAGGTATAAAGTGATAGTAAAAATAACCAACATTGTGTAAGTTCCTTGCACTGGAAAAAAAATCATGGTGTATTCACTAAGAAAAGGGTAAAATTACCAAGAATTCAGGGTTCTATTTGATCCCAGTTTTTTCTTGGTAAAATTACCATTTATGGAATTGGTAATTTTACCGAGAAATCTCGGTAAAATTATTGAACTTTCTCGGTAATTTTACTGGACCTTGGTAAGAACGCCAATATTTTTCATCGACTATGGTATAACTACCGAGATAAAATGGCAAAGTTACCGGGAATTGATTACCAATAAAAGTAGTATTCTTACCTGAATAAAACAGTAAAAATTCCGGTTTTTAGGTAAGTTTACTAGTCTGTCATGGTAAAATTACCAATAATGGTAAAAAAAGCGAGATGGTAAAGGTACCAACTGACCTTGGTAAAAACGCCGAGAGTTTTTTTTCAGTGTGGGCTGCCGAAACTGAGATACGCTCAGATTCGCCACGAAACGTAGATTTTACACTGCTGTCAAAAATAATACGGGCTCCGAGTGAATTTTGAAATGCTCTGCATTGAAACTGTGTCTCGGTTAACATAACTTCGGAATAGGTTGTCCTCTTTTTCTATCAATTTCAATGATGAGTCCACTACCTTTCTAAGAACCGATTGATCCGGATTAATATGACCAGTCATCATTTTAAAGAGAAGAGAATGTTGCCAATTTGCATGAATCACTGCCGGAGGTGATTGCACCGGTGAGGTTTATGGTTCTCGTAGTTTGTTTTCGTTTCGCTAATTCGATGTAGGTACTAGAACAACGTCCTCAGGGTATCCGGCATCTAGCGACCGGGAAAGTCAGCACACTGGGAAAAAAAACACATTGGACCTAGAGTCCAGACTCTTTCGACAAGAAAAAATACTCTTGATTCAATCAGATTTAAGCTTAAATCAAGAACCAAGCCTCTTAATTTGAGCGGATTTCCTTTTGATTTAAGCCTAAATCTGATTGAATCAAGAGTCCTTTTTCTTGTCAATGTTTTCAAGAATCTGGGCTCTAGATCCAATGTGTTTTTTTTCCAGTGCAGGCTGATTATTGAAATTGACAGGCAAAGCTATCAATTTAAACCTCAGCTGATCCAGAAAGAAGGAATTAACACAAACTAACATGTGTTTTGGACTCCCAAAAACTAACTATTAAGGTCAGAAACTGGCAGGAAAAGGCGTCATTGTACTTAAAACTACTGCTGCCATTGGCTCTTTAGCGGAATTATGCCCTTTACGGCCTTTTCAACCGAAAGAATGTCAATTTTTGCTGAGGGTTTTGTCTTACGTCTCGTTTTTACACGGAAAGAACGGACTGTGCTGTCTTAGCAGCATCGGTCTTTTCGTCCTAATTAAATTAGACAAATTTTGAAAGAAACTAGATTTCGAAAATTTGAGAGTTGTCACGGCGCACAGTGGATCGAGTCAATTCGAGAGGTCGGACCTGAAATTTTTGACCAAAACTGCAAATTTTTAAGTTTATTTCGACACATTTCAAACTTTAAGAGGTGTCTCTTGTACAATATTTCACGAGAAAACCAATAGAACCACTTTTAGAACTTTTAAGTTTTGTGTAAACGGAATTATAAGCGTATAAAGTATCCAAATTTTGTCCGACCTCTCCTACTGACTCGATCCACCGTGCGGCAGGACGGGTTCGCACAGCAGGTATTAGCCCTGAGCTCCGTTGAGCGATCGATTTTTACGAAACTCTGTATCGGAGAGCTCTTTTTGACGCGAACTATATTTAGCACGGTAAAGGAACTTCTCGGTATAAAAAATTGAGACTTTTATCATTCGTCCAAAATAAAGCTGAATACTCGATTTCAATCCGGGAAGTCATCAGCTACTCATAACACTAATATGTGAGAATTGGCCATGATTTTGCATTCAACGTATGCGCAGCTAAACAGCACTCAAAGTCAACACATCAAGACTCCACTCTCCGCAGGTAGCGGTCGGACCAACATAAAACGCCTCCAATTGCGTGCGATACTGTGCAACACGCCAAAGTCGAAGTATTTGTATTCTTGAGTTGGAACCGAACTCGAGTGAATTGCGCCACCAACTAAGGCGTGTCAACCGGTTAACTGCTTTATCTCAATCTACGTCGCATGCTTTATGCTCCTTTTTGCTCGTGGCAATCTAAGCCCCAATTTATCCAGAAAGAAAGAATGAACATCATTAATGTTGCTAACGAATATCGTTATCCGATACATTGCAAACTTCCACCCCGCGGGTACCCGTATCCAATGGCGTGGCGTGAATGATCGAGTATCAATGTTTTCCTATCCGAAGCTATGGTGAAAAATCTACTATGAAGGTGTTCGTCGCGAACACCCTGTACATACATCCTTTTCCATAAGTGGCAGATCAATCGCCGTATCGCAAATGGTATCTCTCCGTCTTTCAATCCCTCTATGGTTTGCCTCCAATCGTAACCGGTCGTCCAAAGCATTGCTTACAAGTCTTGAAATTTATTCTGTTCAGGATTTTGAATGGAGAATGCCGAAGCTAAAAATCCAACTGGAAGAGCACTCTGCACTCAGCACACCCGAGGACTACAATCCAGTGATTCCACCGAACGATAAAAGTGCGAAGGACCCCCTGGGAGACGTCTCGAGGATTGATTGCACGTGCCCTTCAATGCAGGCCCCACCTGACGCGTGCACCAGCCCGGAGTCGAGCGTTATGCCTGGCAACCCATCTTCCCCGTCCGGAGGAAGTCACCCTCAAGATTCCAACAATACCCGACTTGCATCAGTAGAAGAGACCCAAGACACCTCGCCCTCGTCCATCTTGGATTCGCCCTCCGCTCTTCCCCCCAAAATTGAATGCGAGGATGAAAAAGATTATGCAAGTTGGACCAACCAGCTGCACACGAGCATTGAAATTAAGAGTGAACCCACCCCCCAGACGGATGAGTCAGAACTCAGGTTGGGACGAGGAGGAGGAGAACACGATTTGGAGAATGATATTCGTGATTTTGTCCCGATGACAGCGCGAGTGAAAAGAGAGGATATGAGCTCTCCACTTCCCGACCATTCTCATGAAAGTTGGATTGACCTGTCAGAAACGAATATCGAAATCAAGAGCGAACCCCCTACCCAAACAAACGCGTCGGAATCCAAGTTAGTCGAACATATTCGAACGCACGCTAGTGAGAACCCATTCGCTTGCGGCGAGTGTTCGAGCCTTTTTTCTTCTGAAAGCGCTTTAACAACACACATGCAAACGCACGATGGCGAGATACCATTCAATTACAGTCATTGCTCCTCCTCATCCAGTATTGAAGATAATTTAAAGAAACACATGCGAACGCATACTGGTAATGAGAAGCTACTTAGTTGCAATCATTGCTCCTCCTCTTTCAGTAGTAAAGACGATTTAAAGATGCACATGCGAACGCACACTGGTGAGAAGCCATTCAGTTGCAGTCATTGCACGGCATGCTTTTCTCACAAAAAGTCTTTAACGGCACATGTTCGCAAGCATACTGGTGAGAAATCATTCAGTTGCAGTCATTGCACAGCATGCTTTTCTCACAAAAAGTCTTTCACGGAACATGTTCGCACATATACTGGTGAGAAACCATTCAGTTGCAATCATTGCTCCTCTTCTTTCAGTAGAAAACACAATTTAAAGATGCACATGCGAACGCATACTGGTGAGAAACCATTCAGTTGCAGTCATTGCACAGCATGCTTTTCTCACAAAAAGTCTTTAACGGAACATGTTCGCACGCATACCGGTGAGAAACCATTCAGTTGCAATCATTGCTCCTCCTCTTTCAGTATTAAAAATAGTTTAAAGAAGCACATGCGAACGCACACTGGTGAGAAACCATTCAGTTGCAGTCATTGCACGGCATGTTTTTCTCACAAAAAGTCTTTAACGGAACATGTTCGCACGCATACTGGTGAGAAACCATTCAGTTGCAGTCATTGCACGGCATGCTTTTCTGACAAAAGTAATTTATCAAAGCACATACGGACGCATACTGGTGAGAAACCATTCAGTTGCAGTTATTGCTCCTCCTCTTTCCTTATGAAAATTCATTTAAAGATTCACATGCGAACGCATACTGGTGAGAAACCATTCAGTTGCAGTCATTGCTCCGCTTCTTTTAGTAGGAAAGGCACTTTAAAGGTGCACATGCGAACGCATACTGGTGAGAAACCATTCAGTTGCAGTCATTGCTCCGCTTCTTTTAGTAGGAAAGGCACTTTAAAGGTGCACATGCGAACGCATACTGGTGAGAAACCATTCAGTTGCAATCATTGCTCCTCCTCTTTCAGTATTAAAAACAATTTAAAGATGCACATGCGAACGCACACTCGTGCGAAACCATTCAGTTGCAGTCATTGCACGGCATGCTTTTCTCACAAAAGGTCTTTAACGGCACATGTTCGGAAGCATACTGGTGAAAAACCATTCAGTTGCAGTCATTGCACGGCATGCTTTGCTCAAAAGCATACTTTGACGGAACATGTTCGCACGCATACTGGTTAGAAACCATTCAGTTGCAGTTATTGCTCCTCTTCTTTCAGTAAAAAAGGCAATTTAAAGTCGCACATGCGAACGCACACTGGTGAAAAACCATTCAGTCGCAGTAATTGTATGGCATGCTTTTCTCACAAAAAGTCTTTAACGGCACATGTTCGCACGCATACTGGTGAGAAACCATTCAGTTGCAGCCATTGCTCCTCTTCTTTCAGTAGGAAAGACACTTTAAAGATGCACATTTGAACGCACACTGGCGAGAAACCATTCAGTTGCAGTCATTGTTCGGCTTACTTCTCTAAAAAAATCACTTTCAAGAGACATTTGCGAATGCATTCTGGCGAAAAACCCTAGAGTTTTAGTCACTGCTCATCTCCTTTTCGGCTACAAAGGCATTTAACGGAGCATACTGCGATCAGAGACAAGAGACCCTCCTCTGACCTCTTGGCGACAGGTGGAAGCTGTTACCTTCGGGGATTCAACAATTCTATAAGGTACATGGATAATGATAATGGAGCAACAGTCATCACCCTAATATCGGCTGTTAACTTGCCGACAATGTGGATGATAAGCCTCTGGTGACGTCATGAGGCAAAGACGTTTCCCAAACTTCGGCCATTTTAGGCTTGTTTGCAAAACGGAAATGCCAACACGTTGTTCAACATTAACCATGTAGGTAATAGCCAACATTAGAATACGGAAGTCTCGAAAGTAAAAGTCTACACCATGACCAAGATACTAGTGGAGGGTCTCTCGTCTCTGATTGCGGTAAACCATACATTCCCAGTGCTCTGCATTTTTGTCCAGAAAAAGTCGTCCAAATGAACGCATACGACACACATCGATCGAGGACCTTTCAGTCGTAGGCATCGCTCGGCTTCGTTTTCTGAAAAAAGTTCTCCATGGGTACATATTCGATCGCACCCTGGAGAAACCCCGTAATTGTTATTATCAAACTAGAAGTTGAGACTATACAGATGACGTTATTTTTATTTTTTCCATTCAAGCACCTTTATTTGTCATGGAGTTCATTCCCACCGTTACCATTCGTCGTGTGACTCCGACTTTCTCGTCAAATATAGAGAAAACTTTTAGCGCAGTGCTCTGATTCCTGTCTTAGCTAGAGGCCCAAGACTTATTGATTATGAGAGCTTGTTTCTATTTTTGCTTTTTTCCGACGTTATTTTCTCTTCATCATAATTTGTAAGTGAATATACCTATTGCACATATTTCCATTTGAATGTTCGAATATTTCTATATAAGCGCTGTTAAATCTCCCGTTATTTGATCAACTTTATAGTTAATCTTCGCTCTGAAACTCCGGAATATTGAAGAAAATCCGAAATTCGTATTATTTTTGTTAAAATAGTTTGGTAATGAGCATGAGATTTCCCTATCGTAATTGGTAAGGCAATGTCTTATATTTGTAATGCATTTTGCAATCAGAAATTACAACGTTTGGCTCATCCGTGTTGACACTGACGTGCATAGGGAAACCAATGGCACATAAATTGGACCGAGTTTAACAGAAAGGAACCAAGCCACACCAGCTATTGCCGAGTTTAACTGGGCAATTAAATTTTTTACGAGAGAACGGTTGTTCGGATTTCTTTGAAAATTTTAAGGACTTT